TGTTGGACTTGCGAATGAATTCGATCGCTTTATCCCGGGCAGCTTGCAAACTGGTCACAAACTGCTTGGAGCGTGGCACGGGGTTGTCGATGTTGATAGTTGCCGGGACGGTCGGATCCATCCCGTAGTTTAGGAAAAACGGCGAGTGAGTAGTCGTAGCCGATGGGGCATTGTTGTAGGAAAATTCTAGCATGGGCAGAAATTCTTCCCACCGAGCAGGATCGGGGCAGTTGGTGCGTATGAGTTGCTCCATGGTCTGATTGGTCCGTTCAGATTGACCGTCGGTTTGAGGGTGGTAGGCGGAGGAGAATTGGAGGCGTGTGCCGTACTGGGCCCAGGTCTCCTGCCAAAACTTCGACGTGAATTTGGGGTTGCGGTCGCTGATGATCGCGGAGGGTAGGCCGTGCAGGCGGACAACGGTGGAGATGAAAAGCTTCGCGGTGTCTTCGGCTATGATTGTTGTACGACAGGGTGCGAAATGTGCCATCTTCGTCAGTCGATCGACGACGACCAGCACGGCGTCGTTCCCCGTGGCTGCTGCCGGGAGCCCTGTGACGAAGTCCATCGTCACATGTTGCCACGGTCGCTGGGGTGGCTCGAGCGGTTGCAGCAGTCCAGCTGGGCGCTGTCGAGACGACTTCATGCGTTGGCAGATCGGGCATGCGAATACGTATCGCTGCACATCAGACGCCGAATCAGGCCAATAATAAAAACGGTGAAGGAGTTTCTGGGTTTTGTCAACCCCGAAATGACCGGAGAGGTTAGAATCGTGGACTTCTTGAATAAGTAATTCGCGGAGGAGCCTGTAGGCGGGAACCCAGATACGATCAGTACCGGCTTTGAGGAAGTAGGGTCCCTTGGCTGTGGTGGCTTGTTGGTGGAGGTTGCGGGTGAAAAAGGGGTCGGTGTTGTAGCCGTGGGTAAATAGTCCGGTGAGCAGTGGGTTTGATTTCGCGATGATGACGGAGGCGAGGTGGGCGGACGGTCGTGTCAGTGCGTCGGCGATGTTATTCGCCCCTCGTTTGTACGTGATGGTGTAGTGGAAGTTGCTCTCGAGGAAGTCCAGCCAGCGAATCTGTCGCGGGTTGAGGTTCGGCTGCGCGCGGAGGTATAGTAGGGATTTATGGTCTGTCCGTACTGTCACGTCGGCTCCTGTCAGGTAGCATCGCCACACTTTGAATGCGTGCACGATGGCGAGCATTTCTTTGTCGTGGACGGGGTAGTTGCGTTCGGCTGCCTGCAACTTCCGGGACTCATACGCGATGGGTTGGAGTCCGTCGCCGAAATCTTGTAACAGTATCGCGCCGATGGCAAAATCGCTAGTGTCCGTCAAGACTTCGAACGGTCGAGATGGGTCAGCGATTCGGAGGACCGGGGGCGACGTCAGAAAATTTCGCAGTTCGTCGAAAGCAGTCTGCTGTCTCTCCCCCCACTCAAACAGAGTGCCCTTTCGCAGCAGGTCAGTTAATGGTCCAGTTATCCCTGCCATATTGGGGATAAACCGCCGGACATAATTAACGAACCCGAGAAAGCTCTGCAGTTCCTGTAAATTCGTCGGCGGCTTCCAGTCGCGAATCGTGGTGATTTTCTTCGGGTCGATTTTGATGCCGTCTGCTCCCACAACATGTCCCAAAAATTCCAGTTCGGATTTTAGGAACTCGCACTTAGAGCCTTTCGTAATGAGGCGGTGTTCTTGCAGTCGCTGGAAGACTTGCTCGAGGTCCTTGAGGTGCTGTTCCTATGTCTGGCTGTAGATCAGGATGTCATCAAGGTAGACGATGACACACTTGTCGAGGAGGTCTCGGAATACGCCATTCATGGTAAGTTGGAAGGTAGAGGGCGCGTTCGTGAGGCCAAACGGCATTACGGTGTACTCGTAGCTGCCATATCGGGTTCGGAACGCCGTCTTGTGGCAGTCGTCAGCGAAGACTCGGATCTGATGGTAACCGCCCCGCAAGTCGATTTTCGAGAAGAAGCGAGCTCCGCGAAGTTGATCGAGAAGATCGTCAGCGCGTGGGATTGGGTAGCGAGATTTTATGGTTCGTCGGTTCAGCGCCCTGTAGTCGATGCACATTCGCAGCCCCCCGTCTTTCTTTGGCGTGAACAGGATTGGCGCGGCGAACGGGGACGTGCTGGGCCGAATGAACCCTTTTTCCAAAAGGTAGTCCAGCTGGCTTCGCAACTCTGTGAGTTCGGGCTGAGTCAGCCGCCACTGGGTCCGGACTGTAGGCTGCGCGTCGGGTTCCAGGTCAATTTTGTGGTCCTGGGGTCGCTCGGGTGGCAACCCTGCTGGCAGGTCGTCCGGAAAAATATTCGGGTACTGTCGAATCAGCGCGGCTAGCTCGGCAGGAACATTGGCACAAAGTGTGTCAATGTCCTTTGGCGTGTCGTTGACCGTCGCTTCGGCCAGGTGGACGGCGTACAAATCAGCTCCCCTTTTAACTGCTCGCTGGAGGGTGATGGCGTTGACACGTGTCGACACCGGATCCCTCCCACGCCAGCACGGAAGTACGCGCCACCCGTTCGCACAGTTCACGCTGCATTCGCCAGTTGTCCAGTCGATCCTCGGGTTGTATTTTCGCAGCCAATCACGCCCCAGCAGAATGTCGCAGCTGTCTAGCGTCGTGGCCAGCATGGGCATGCTGAACCCGAAGTAGTCGCCACACTTCATCCGCACCATGCGCGCTCGTTCTCGAATTGCAAGTGGAGTTCCGTCCACGAGTCTCGCGTCGATTTCGGGAAGGCATTTTTCCAACGTCAGCTTCAACTGCTTCGCCGTTGTGACGTGAATGAGACTGTGACTAGCTCCGCCATCCACAAATAATTTTATTTTTTTGCCATTAACCTTGCCTTCAACCAGCACAGGGTGATCTTCAGGTTCGCTCCCGTTATTCGTCCGAGTGCGGTCGATAGCGTGTATCGGTACCACAACTTGGTGGGAACGGTGAAGTTCGGGCGACAAAGCCTCGTCAGTAGGGGGCCCGTCTACTGCTGACTTTTCCCATTTCCCGGCTTCTCCTTGTCGTTCTTCGTCTTCTTGGTCGCCGTCGGGCAGTACTTAGCTCGGTGACCTGGCTTGTCACATCGAAAACATAGCCCGTGAAATATTTCATCGGGCGCTGACACGCCATTGATCGTGGGGCGGGGAGACTGTCCACAAAAACGACCAACATCCCTGTTGTTCTTTCTCGCCCACTGCTGCAATGCATCGGCTGCTGACGCCAGTTGGACAGCCTCATCGAACGTCTTGGGACGGGACCGCTGCAACTCGTATTGAATGTCGAAATGCAGCCCGCTTACGTATTTGTCCCGCCTTTCCGCTTCTCTGAGATCGTCGACTTGGTCCGCAAGTGCCGAGAACGACGCAGTGTAATCTTGAACAGTAGTCACATGCCGCCAGTTGCGCAGCTTCATGCGAGCGTCGTCTGAGGCGGATGAGTGCTCAAAACGAGCTCGCAGAGCTGTGCCCCACTGTTTCCACGTGCGAATCGTGGTCGTACCGAATATCGTCTCTGCCTGTTGGTTTGAAGAGTCCGAAGTCCCGTCCTTCGTCTGCTTCACTCCTGCCGGAGTCCCAATCGCCAACTGTCGGCGCCACCAATCCAACGCTGGTCCTCGAAGCAGTGACACAGCATAGTTAATGCGTGCGTCGTCCGTGTGTACACTTGCCGCCGTGAAGAACAGCTCCATGCTGAACAGCCACCCTTGCACCGTCGTCGCCTTGTCCGAGGGGTTGAACGGGGGCGGTGTTGCTGGCTTGAGTTTTATCTTCGTTACGGTCACAGTGCGCACGTCGTCCTGCTCCAACTCCCGTGCGAGCTCGTCAAGGACGGTTTCGCTCGCTGCGTCGTCGGCACCTTGCTTGACCTCGTCTTCGGCGACTCCAGGCGACTCCTGACGCGCTTCACCACGCGCCTGGCGAAGCTCGGTGTTTTCTGTCCGAAGTCTCACGACTTCACTGTTCAAACTCGCCATCTGGGCTTGCATTGCCTGCATCCGAGCCATGACCTCGTCTAGCTGGGCCTGGGACATGATGCGAATGCTACGCCTTTCGGGCAGGGGGAAGGCCGTGGTAAGAAACCGCAGGGGGCGCAAACGCCATCGTAGTTGTGTGAGCTAATAACTCTAGCTCACGGACAACCGCTTTGCAGCCACACAGGGTTAACCACGCCTTGGAAATAAACTACCCTGAGAAAGCGGGGTGAACCAGGAAAGTAGCTCTGATACCAGATGTTATGAATAATAACTGAGAGTGCGCGGAATAATAATGACGAGTACAAGAATGCTAGCCTAGCATTATATAGCGAGAGTTCTAGCTAGGCGACGAAGCCGGAAGGCTAGGTTGGGTATAGGCGCGGTCAAAAGGTTCGGAGGCGGCGCGGGCGTGCCTCGGGGTCGCGTCGGAAACGGACCGAGCCTAGCGTTCCGAGAGTTCGGGTGTACGCGATTGCAGTACAACCCGGTAAGGAAGAAAATTCCTTACAGTATGTGTTTGTTTACACGAGAGAACGTCAAACATGGTAAATATAGTATGTGTGTCTGTATTCATCATTACTGGTAAAAAAACATCGAGGTGTATGCAATGAGGTAACCTGGTTTCTTTCAACGTGATTTGCAGTTCGTGCTAGTTTGCTCCGTAATTTGTGATAATCATGAATCGCTTCCGTCCAATAGGACTTGTTCAATTCCACGCAATGTTGTGCTGTTTTGAGGAACGGAATGTGTGTGAGCGACTCAAACAGGAAAATAGGACCGTCGATAGTATCGCGTGACTTGCGGGATGCACATGTCCGCTTCCAGCACCAGAAAGGGATGTTGGCCCTTCGATCCTCGTAAGTTGGCAAGAGCCAATGGAGACGGGTTGCTGTTCTCTCACCAGAAATTCGCACCTTGCCAGGCCCCTCACTCGTCTCTCCCACCATGCTGCTCGCATTGGGCACTGGGCTGGGGGAGACAGACACCCCTTCAGCTTGGTTCTTCGTGCCAGCTGCTGGTAGGAAAACTGGGGTTTCATCACACATAAGGTGAACTTCAAGAAGCCTAGCTTCAGTTGTGAGCTGAATTTCCGCGCTTAGGCCGATTATTCTATTCGCTCTTTGTGTAGGTTATCAACGTCTCCCCTTTTAGAGCCTTGCGTCTCGGCTGCTGAGGTTGTTTTTTAGTTTGTGCCAAGTACAGCACCACCAAAGTTGTTTCAACATTGTTGCTTGTTACCCGACCTTTAGACACACTTCTACCTGGTCAATGGCGGAGACCGTTCCGAACAAGGCAGGAGAAGAGAAGCCGAAAGCGGCTTCTTCTCCTGCAGTCAAGGCTAAGGCTCCTGCTCCTAAAGTTACCAAGCCAAAAGCTGTAAAGCCAAAGTCTCCGAAGCCTGCTGTATCCAAGTCGAAGGTTAAGCATAATCATCCGAAGTACATTGAGGTACGTCTCTTCAAGTTACCATTGACGCTTTTGATTTAATTACTCCTTTCATACCGCTGACACGATGTTTTAATTCGTGCAGATGGTGAAGGAAGCTATTGTGGCCTTGAAGGAAAGAACTGGTTCAAGCGTGCCTGCTATTGCCAAGTATATTGAGCAAAAGCACCCAGACCTTCCGGCCAACTGGAAGAAGACACTGGCCATTCAACTCAAGAACTTGACTAAGGCTGGCAAACTTGTGAAAGTCAAGGCTAGCTTCAAGCTTGGGGATGAACTGAAGCAAGCAAAGCCTGCTCGTGCTCCAGCGAAGAAGGCTCCCGCGACAGTGAAGAAGGTGGCGAAGCCTAAAGTGGCGTCGAAGCCACGACCGAAGGCTGTTCCGAAGACCGTCAAGGCCACGAAGCCATCGACTACTAAGAAGGTTGCGACACCCGTCAAGCCCGCCGTGAAGAAGCCGTTGCGCTCAGCTCCGAAGGCGAGGAAGGTCACAGACAAGAAGCCAGCGGTTAAGAAGGTGACACCGAAGGCAAAGGCTCCAGCGCCGAAGAAGGTTCGGGCTTCTCCTAAGAAGCCTGCTGCCAAGAAGGCCAAGACAGCGGCTAAGAAGTGAGCCTTGCAGGCTCAAATGCTGACTGAGACGATTTGTATAGCCTATGTGAGATGGCCGTCTGACTAGGATTCTATGTTTGGTATAACATGACATGCTTGTTTTTGCGTTTCCTTTTTTAATGTCTTCCCTGGGTCGTAGTAATCCTCTCTATTTCGATGCCCTGAGTTTTTGTAGTTAACATGTTGGTTGCACCCTACCTAGCTTTGTTCAGCCAGTCTGTCAAAGCTTCCAGCTGTAGTGGTTCACATCTTTGGCTTTGGAGGTTATCAGAATGGAATCATGACTAGAAGGGTATACGACCTAAGGGCTGTACTCTATACAGTCTACAAACATAACAATAAATGTTTGACACACCCTCTAGACTGCATAGGGGCAGGTCCTAATGTGAGTGCAAGCAACTCAGGGTGGTATCAAAGTGAGAACTGAATGATCAGTAGAGAGAGTACAGGTGAATATTGTTAAAATTATATAAGTTATAATTTCATATAGGCTTGGTAGGTTGTTACTGAACCTTTCTGTAGAGGGTACAAACCCCTTCTTGTACTCTTCTCTCTTCCTAAACAAATCCCTTTTCTTCTCGACATTCTCTCCCTTCCTAGATCCGTTTTCCTCACGCCATTCCATGGCGGCCTTCTTCCTAGTATTCTAGTCAACCTAACCTTCTAAGTTTAAGAACCTTGAGTCCTAAGTTTCTAAGAAATATACCTAAGTGTTGTACCCTCTAAGAGGTGGCCCTATACAGTCTATGCGAACAGAGGAGATACACATGTTTGACACACCCCCTAGACTGCATAGGGGCAGGTCCTGAACAAGCGGCTCAGGGCGGCACTACTAGTCCAGCCTCTAAGACAAGGGTCTAAAAGACCAGTCAGAAGGAGTACAGACAAGGCAAGAACAAGACCAGGGCGGCACTACTAGTCCAGCCACTGGGAGAGGACACAATGTTAAAGTCTGAACTAGGAAGAACAGAGGAGGCCGCCATGAACTGGCGGCCAAGGGTTTAGCTAGGAGCTGGACGAGAGTGACGAGAGAGAAGAGTGGTAGACTAGAAGAGAATGAAGTACAAGAAGGGGGTTGTCCCCCCTACAGTAGGATGCAGTTAGTAGCATAACTACCAAGCCTACAATTATATAAAAATATAATTTGAACACACCCTCTAGGCTTGGTAGTGGCAAACCCACACAACCCACACACACACCCCCTAACCCCGGACACCCTCATTCTCGTGAGCAGCCGGTATCGACCCCTCGTGCTAGGCTATGACACCCCCGGTCGAGAGGCAGCTGGCCGCATCTGGGCAGCCTCAATGACGACAGCGGCGGAGCTCGTGCTCAAGGCGGCTGTGTCGATGAGGACAGGCGGCGACTGCGGCGGCTGAGGGCTCTCGGCGGTGTGGCACGGGCTGGCGACGACCGAGCCGAAGACAGCAGCTACGGCAGGAGCAGGAGGAGATGCAGGGGAGGGAGAGGTGGTGGGGCTGCTGTGGTGGGGCTGCAGGACTTCAGCGCGGCGCTTACTGGAGGGAGGAGCAGGCGGGACGGGGCCTAGGAGGGGCGCGACTGGGCTAGGAGGCACGGCAGGGCCCAGGAGGGGCGCGACTGGGCTAGGAGGCACGGCAGGGCCCAGGAGGGGCGCGACTGGGCTAGGAGGCACGGCAGGGCCCAGGAGGGGCGCGACGTGGATAGGAGGCACGGCAGGGCCCAGGAGGGGCGCGACGGGGAGGTGGAACGGCGGAGCCGCCACGTCAGGGCGGCAAGCCCAGCACGGCTGCTCGACGTGGCAGCCATGCGACATGGCCGCCACGGCGGCACGGCAGGAGCGACGAACGCACGAGAACGCAGCGGAAAGCACGGAGGGGAGCAGGCCCAGGAAGGGCATCCCGCTCTCGATACCATGTTAAAGTCTGAACTAGGAAGAACAGAGGAGGCCGCCATGAACTGGCGGCCAAGGGTTTAGCTAGGAGCTGGACGAGAGTGACGAGAGAGAAGAGTGGTAGACTAGAAGAGAATGAAGTACAAGAAGGGGGTTGTCCCCCCTACAGTAGGATGTTGTTAGTAGCATAACTACCAAGCCTACAATTATATAAAAATATAGTTTGAACACACAAGTCCAGTCTGAGTACACATATAAAGGACAGTACAAAGTCAAGGCCCTAGCAAGTGAGAGGCAACAGGAACTAGACCAAGCTGTACACAGTGCCGCTGATGATCTTTAGGCGCAAGCGCCTTCGTAAAGATATCAGCTGTGTTGGCACCTGAGGCCAAGTGTACTACGCCAGGCCTGTCGTTATCAGGGTATTTTACCCTGATTCCCTGATTTCACAAGGTATTTTTTTGGCCAACCCTTAATTTTCAGGGTTGGGTTTTTTTGAACCCTAACCTCTTCAGGGTTGTATGTCTGTGAACACTTAAGATTTCAGGGTTTGCGTTATCCCAACACTGAGTTTTCAGGGAGTAACGCGTACGAACCCTGAATGCGACATCCATGCGGACCCTGAGTTTCCTCGAAATGGCCCCCTTACGCGTGACGGGGCCCAGTCCATTGAACACGCCCAGCATGCGTCACCTGGGGAATCTGCACTCGGCAAGATTCCCGCCGTGTACACGCTGTATGTTGCCATTACAGCAACATTTGCAACCGTCAACTGGCATTCGTGACTCAGCACCCAGCAGACGAGGACAGAATATGATGAGCGCGGCAATGTCAGCCTCTGTATGACATCACCCCGCCAATCATCTCTGTGCAGACGATGCCAGCGCAGGTGCGTCTCGCCGTTGACAGTATCGCCATGGCGATACGGGAACCTGGATGGGTTATGCACCATCCATGAAATTCGAAAGATGGGGCTTCTTGGTCCTCTTCCCGTCTTCTTCACCAGCTCCTCCTCCAACCCAGTTTTTTTCATTTCTTCACGTCACAGCTACGAGATGCTCCAGTCTTCTGTCTCCTCTAGTTTCGTCGCGCCGATTTCTCATTTCCATCATATCCGCCGCTTCTAGCCATGGCGGATGTAGGAGACTCTGGTGAGTCTCCCACTGCCGATGATGGTTCTGGACTAGGTAGGGACCCCCCCGTGGAGGTCCGTAGATCCGCTCTAGACATCTTGCGGTCTCCCACCGCTGTCGTTACACCATCACAACCCGTATCTACTCCCGCCGCTCCCTATGTACCTCCGCCCGCTGTCGCCTCATCTAGCCGGGGCCCTTTGGTTCCAGACTGCGAGACAGCCACGACCGTGCGTTACACGGTCGAGTGTGCGTCGACGATTTCATCTGGGAAGAAAGCACGCGCCGGGAAGTACACCCAGAGCACGATAGTCCTCGGCGGAAAGCTACATCGACGGTCGCCGCCTCGCACGTCGCCTGAACCTCAGGCCCCTGGTATTCCAAAACCCGAGCCGCCGAATCTCTCAAAGAAGGAACTCATCGAGCAGAAGTATCTCATGGCTGAGCACAAGTATAAGACCAGCTGGCTTCCATTTTTCCCTTGGCTTCTGCTAACGAAAACGAAAGACGGTTACCCTGCTTTGAAGTGCAGTGTGTGCAAGGCTTTCGGCAAAGAGACAACACCGTACTCCAACAGCCGCGACGGGGCACGTGACCTGCAGACGCAAGCGATGCGGTTCCACGAACACACGACAGCCCACGAAGTAGCAGTCAAGCGTCAGATGGAGATCGCCGAAGACATCGCCAGCACCCAGAGGCGCATGGAGAATTACGCACGGATTGACATCGAGGGGAAGCGCATCATGAGGCTCCTACGCTGCGTCGACTTCCTGTGCAAGTGTGATGCACCCATCAGCATGTACCCGAGGCTACTCCGCTTCATGGCCGAGCAGGAGACACCGGACATTCCACTGCAGTCTTACGGAGTCTACCTGACACGGTAATGCACTTATTCGAAGTACACCATGTCCTTCATTTTTCAAAAAGGTCTAACCAACACCTTGTTGTCACTTCTGGTACTATAGGTATGGCTTTTGTCAGCTCGTCAGCAGCCTGGCAACCTACCTGCAGCGCCGACAAATGCACTACATTCTCGCCTCACCCTACCTCGGCATCAGCTACGACGAGAGCACTGACCGTACTCGCGGTAAACATCTTATTGTTTATCTGACCTTCTTGCGTGCGCATCGTGTTGTCACAGAGTTTTTTGCTCTCTTGACCGTCGAAAAGTGCGATGCCGCGTCTCTCCTCGCCGTTCTTCTGGCTCACTTGCGAGCAACTGGCATCGACCTCTCCCGAATCACCGGCATGAGCACCGACGACGCCTTTGTCATGGTCGGCCGAGACAATGGTCTCGTCGCCCGACTTCGCGAGCACATCCCCCACCTCGTCTCGTCGCACTGCATCGCCCACAGGTTTAACCGCACGTCATTTCAGTTGCTTAGGGTTCCTACAACTGCTTGTCTAAAATTCCTTCATGTGCACCATGCAGGGAAGCCTTGGCGGTGAAGGACGCGGCCACTGCTTCTCCAGACTTCGACATGGTCGACCTTGTGATTCGGACTCTGGCCGATCTTCTGGGACGTTCATGTGTCTGGAGTCAACGCTTCAAGTACCTGCAGCGGGCAATACACAACACCAACCTTGAAGTGCAAGGAATTCACACCGTGCGCTGGCTTTCAAGGGGTAAGGCTGTGAGGCGCCTCTGTAAGGTCCTTGGCGCCACTATCATTCTCTTTTATGAGTACGGGCATGAGCTGTATGAGGTCGTCATCTGTTACAAGTTCCAGTTCTGTCTTTTTTTCTTGGCGGACGTGCTCGAAGTGATTAATGAGCTCAACCTCAAATTCCAGAAGAGGGAGGTGAGCTTCTACCACTGTGGATGTTGTAGTTGTTGTCCCATGCATCCACGTTTGGAATCACCCTTTGACTCCACTCCCTTGTCTGTCACTTCCATCAGATCGATGTCACCGAAGTGACAAAGGACATCGACGAGGCGACAGGGGACCTCCGCCACCGCTACTTGGAGTGCGGAGAGGTGTTCGGTGGGGGTGTCGAAGGCATGTGGATTTCGGCTTTCTTGGCGGTCTACGGGCGCGGAGGGGGCAAACGCGTAAAGGTGCGGGGCATCGACAAGGACGGCAACCCAGTTACGCACACCTACACCATGCACGAGAAGCAGATCGACGGGCATGCCTTCCGCAGCAAGTACCCCGATTGCGAGCGGCTCTGCGCG